ACAAATCTTTGGTAACTACCTCCTAAAATTGTCATAAGGATTAATTCAGATGTCCTTTGTAGCACATTTAGGACAGCTCTTGGCACACAGTAAGCGCTCAGTGAATGTTAGTTGCTGACATTATGAATTATGATATTATATTAATATGAAATATATATAATTACTATTACATACCTTAAAAAATTTAGACTTTTCACCTGGCTAGATGCCCTGAAGTAGGATTTTGGGTCCAAGAGTGTATGGCTTACAATTTTTATACATGGTGCCTAATTGCTATCTAAAAATTTACAGTTCTGTTACTGAATGGGAGTGGCCTTCTATCCAAATCTTACCAGCATGGGAGATTAGAAATCATTTCAGTTTTGGCTAATACGGTTAGATATGGTTTCTTTATCATTGTAACTTGCAATTTACTGACCTATAAAGAGACTTAGCATCTGTACATAGCTTTTTGGCAATTTTCAGATTTTCTTTTAAATCTAAACAGGCTATATCTGTTCATAGCTTTTGTCTGTGGGATTTTACAAATATTGCTATTTTGAATAAATATTGCTAATTTATAAAAACTTGCCATGAATTAAGGATATACGTTGAAAATATTCTCTCATTATTTGTTTTCCTTTTCTTTTGTGATCTTTTGCTATACTGCCATTTCCATTTTTCATATAGACTGATATAACCATTTTTCCTTTATGTCTTCTGGGTATTCTGCTATTAAACACTTTTGAATGGTATGTATGTGCTAGAATCATTTTTTTTTTTTCCATTTTGTTACAGCAGTGGCTCTCAATTTTCTGTGGGCATCAGAATTACTTGTGAAACTTTTTAAAACTATGTTTTTTGGGGGGCTTGATCACAGAATTTCCTGAGGCAGGGCTTAGCCACATGTCCATTAAAAAGGAGAGTCTCATTTTGATAAATGAGTGCTCCTTAAAAGTAGGTTTTTAAATTGTCAAAACACTGATGTAGTTGTTGAAGCTGGAATGTGTCTACCTCAAACTGGTATGTTGAAATCCTGACCCCCCACTGTGATGGTTTTAGGAGACTGGGCCTGGGGAAGTGATTATGTTGTGAGTGTGGATTCTTCCTGAGTGGGATTCATGCCCTTATAAAAGAGACCCGAGAGAGTTCCTTCACCCCTTACCTTCCCCTGGGTGAGGACATGGGGAGAAGATGGCTGGCTGTGCACCAGGAAGAGGGCTTTTGCCAGAATCTGACCATGGTTGCACCCTGAGCTTGGCCTCCATAGGTATGAGAAAACAAATTTCTGTTGTTTATGGGCCACCCAGTCTGTGGTATCCTGTTATAGCAGCCCAGGTGGACTAAGACACTGGGTGACAGGCACATGAGGACCCATTATACTGTTCTCTTTACTTTTGAATATGTTTGAAATTTTTCATAAGTAGTAGCTTTAAAAGAAAAAGTTCTGATAGCATGCAAAGCCCATCAAAATTGCTGTACTAATCAGAGTTGGTTAAGTAGCAGAGATGTTACATGTTAAATCGACCTGGAAGGCCAACTAGGAAGGGACATGGCCTTATCATGGTGGTGTTGAGCAGTAAGGCAGGCTGCCCAAAGTGGGAGCTGAGCCAGCGTCTGAGTAGCCTGCCAGGACTGTGCTGTACCCTTGGACCCTGAACAACAGGGCCTCTCCTCTTTCAGACTGCTTCGTGGCTTCTTGGTTCTATAAGACCTCATGGAGAGGCAGGAGTAGATATTTCTGTTTCTTGGGGAGGCAAGTAGAAAAATGGAAATCAGCTTACATGTCTCTCTGTGAGGACAGCAGCAGGTGGTGGTAGTGGTAGGGTCTTTGGTGATCAGTAAATTGGAAGTGTTCCCATTTCCTATCATACTGGCATATCCACCCCCCCCCCATTAAAAATCTTTTGTCAGTCACCATTTTATTTATTTTTTTTTTATTTTTTTTTTTTAAGATAGTTTTGTTTTTTTTTTTTCTTTTTTTTTTAAAGATTTTTATTTATTTATTCATGAGAGACAGAGAGAGAGAGGCAGAGGGAGAAGCAGGCTCCCAAGGAGCAGAGAGCCCGATGCGGGACTCGATCCCAGGACCCTGGGATCATGACCTGAGCCGAAGGCAGACGCTTAACCATCTGAGCCACCCAGGCGCCCTTGTCAGTCACCATTTTAAACTCACCCTAAGCCTTCCAATTTTATCTCTCTCTCTTTTACCCCCAGCACAATACTTTTTTCCTAGTCCTATAAAATTCTTTGCCTTGACTGTGATTTGCTTACTTCTGCCCCCACAATAAGCACAAAACAGTCAACCTGGGATGCCTCACTCAGACTTTGCCAATCTCTAGTCCTCACCTCTCCAAATACTGCTCAAAATGCAGCTCAGGGGAAGCCCAGTGCAAACTGGTCCTGATCTAAGGACAAAGACAATCAGGGAATTAAAGAAAACCATCAGCACAAAGGAGTTGAACAAACAGAACAGCCTATCCCTAGGGTAAATGGAGATAAGGCTGGGAGGAGAGGAACTTTTAAGGTCTCATTACCCATTGAGAGGGGTGCCTGGCTGGCTCAGTCAGTAGAATATGGGATTCTTGATCTCAGGGTTGTCAGTTCAAGCCCCACGTTGGGTGTAGAGAATACTTAAAAATAAAATCTTAAAACAACAACAACCAAAGCTGTGGAGAGATTGAAGAGGACTTTATACCCGTACATTGAAAACCTGTTGCCATTGAAAGGAATCATCAGAAAACCAGAATTCCTCAGTGAAATCTTGAAATTATGATTACCAAAATTAACTTTGAAATTTCACAGAAGTCTAAAAAATAGAAGCAGCCAAGGACTGAATTAGTAATCTGGAAAATAAGTTGAAAAAAAAATCTTCCAAAACTTAGATACGTGATGTAAAAAGAGATGAGAAAGAGGAAAAGGAGGCTGAGAAGAGATCCAAGCAGTTTACCCTCTGGGTGCTCCAGCAGGAGTCTCAGGATGGAAAGAACACAGACAGAGGACATAACTTTATTCAAAATAGAGAAATGATTTGGATTTCCGGATTGAAAGGGTCCATCTAGATACATACTGGTGAAATCTCTGCCCTGCAAGGATAAAAAGAATATCCTTAAAGTTCTCAGAGCAAATACAAGCTTGCCTGTGAAGGGACTCAAGTCAAACTGGATCAGACTCCCATCAGCAACGCTGGATTTCAGTTGAAAGACAGTGGAGTGGGGAGTTTCACATTCTGAGGGAAATGATTTGAATATCAAAATATATCCCAGCTAGACTAAGCATAAAAATATTTTCAGATGCAGGGAAAGACTAAAAAGATTGCCTTTTAAATACTTTTTCTGGGAGAGTTACTTACAGCTGTACTAGAGCAAAGCAGAAACAGAACCCCAGAAAGAGGAAAATGCGGAATCCAAGACACCAAGCTAGCAGGATATCCTATGACGATGACAGTTGCTTCACATGCTTAGACAGTGATGAGTCCAAATTAGAACAGGAAATCAGAAGGCTCCATGGAAACAGTCTTCAGGAAGAAAGTGGGTAACACTACACAGATCTTGTGATTAGGATCTAAAAGTGTCACTATAGCTTGCTATCAATGACACAGTAGTGTAAGTCTATCTTTTCTTTTCAACAAGAGAAAGAATGGCCACTAGATCATCTGGGAAATAGAATAAAACACTCTACAGGAAAGTCATGGTCTAAATATGGAGCAAGCTGGATTTTGAACAGTTGGTGTAAAACAAAGTGATGGACTCTCAGAATTAAATGCGTTTGAATTTGTAATGAGTAGAGGGTATAAACATTTCCCGGTGTCAAGTGTGGTTCTTTTACTCTTGAAACTGGATTGCTATTTTTATAGCACATGATTCTTTACAGATCAGATTTTTCCCAATAATTGTTTTGAAGAATCATCCAGGGAGTAAACTTAGATATAAAGTTGTGTTCTCATTTTCTCTTTTGGTTTCCCTATCCAAAAAAAAAAAATATATATATATATATATATGATTTTGTTGTTTTTAGCATAGCAAAGGTGACCTTGGATTTTGACCAGATAGTCATCTAAACTTGAATATTTGTAAACAAACTTGTGGCCATTAAGAAGCATAAGCCTCATGTTTTAGTAATTTATTTGAAGAGTTCCTTAGTAACTAATAGCTTGTTTTGAAGAAATATGTACATAAAATTCAGCTCCTTTAGTTTCACTTCACCTTTTTTCCTGCTAAATCCAAGTAAAATTAAATAGAATAATTTTTATTTTTTTAATTTATTTTAATTTATTTTTATTTTTTATTTTTTAAAGATTTTATTTATTTATTTGAGACAGAGAGAATGAGAGACAGAGAGCATGAGAGGGAGGAGGGTCAGAGGGAGAAGCAGACTCCCTGCCGAGCAGGGAGCCCGATGCGGGACTCGATCCTGGGACTCCAGGATCATGACCTGAGCCGAAGGCAGTCGCTTAACCAACTGAGCCACCCAGGCGCCCTAAATAGAATAATTTTTAAAGAAATATTTACAACAGTTATCTCTGTATTGTGGGATTAGAATGATTTGAATATATATATGATTTTCTGGAGTTTCCTCCCAAGAATATGTATTGCTGTTAATATGAGAACACCCCATAAAATTTAACAAGAATAATTATTTCGACTGAAACTACCTTAGCAGACTTTTTCTGCTAAGGAAGACCTTCTTTTTTTTTTTTTTTTTACAAGAATCATCTCTGTTTTATTTATTCTACAGAGTAATGATTTAAATTGAATACACTTGGGCACAGTAAATATTTGACATGAAAAGTAGTTATCAGAAGAGGCATCAGAAAAATAACAACTCATCTGACACATAATCACTAGAAAATATTTTTCTGTCCAATCACTTAAGTGTTACAAATCCTGAGAATGTTATACACTGAACAAACTAGGTACTACTTATAATTAAATCTTGCTTGCAAATCATCTGTTAAAAAAAACGCCTTGAGGTACAAATCACCTATGTATTAAACATGTCTTTTACATTTTTACAAAGAATTTAAACAAAAATATCAAACAATTAAAGTTAAGTGGCTCTTAAAACAGCTATTAGTCAGGCTCAAGGACACACTGTTCCACAATTTCCCGTAAGTTGGGGTTTTCCATCGCAGCTGCCACTCGCTCTTTGTCATTTATCTGCTTGTTGATGTCTTCCTCTGTTGAGTGGGTTCCTTCAGAAATGTAGATTTCCAACTTATGTTTAAACGGTAAACACCGCTGAAGTTTTACTCTTAAGCACAGCCCAATAAGGGTTGCCAAAGAGCAGTGAGGTACTGTTGGTGTGAACCTGATAATAACCAAATAGTCTTCTTCGTTTATCTCCTGAACCTCCACACTACTTTCTGTTACCACTTCCAGTTCTTCTAAAGTATTGGGCTTCTCTGGGTCCCGGATAGTTCGAATCAAATTATAAACCTCTAGCGCTTTTTCTTCCATGATCCGGGGCTGCCGGGCAGCTCCCCGCTCAAAGAGGCCTCAGAGCCACAGGACTCTGCTCAGCGTCCAGGAGAGCAGCCCGGACACCTGCTCCATCCTCACGCTCCGCCATCCCTGGCGACTGTCCCATCCGAGCCAGGAAGACCTTCTTGATGCCCCACTTTCCACTAATCATTACTATCACTCTTGCAAACTCATTTTTGAAAGGAGCTCACCTTTTTACTGATAGCAGGTATAGCTTTGCATATTGATTGCTCCTGCCTGTAAGATTTTTGGTTTCTCAAGGACTAGGCCTGTGGATCTACACCACTGCTATTCTCCTGATGGGCTCAGCACAGCCGCAGGATGCTCCCACTGGGTCCTGGAAGGCATCCTGGGTGGAGGCAGAGCTTCTTGGCCTGCACCCCAGGGTCTCTCCCAGATCCCCCCTGTGGGGTGAAAGAGAAGGGAAGGCAGTAGGTTCAGGCTCACACAAGCATGGTAATGGAATCCACAGAGCAATAGCTTCCAGTTCTCCACCCCAATCATTAGGCTTTCAAAATTGCATAAATTAGAAGCCCAAATGCTTGCTTATGTGTTGAATCAGCGCAATAAACAAATAATCAAATGGTAGGAACAGACTAAACTCAGAGCCTCTTCCCATGAATAGTATATATGGGGATAAAGCATTTTTTGGAGAAGTGGAGCAGCTCTCATGTTTGTAGAGATTTAGGGAATGGTCACGAGGGAGTGAGAGGACAGTGAACACAGGAAACTCTCAAATGCTGATGTTCTCATGGAAAAAGCCTTTCACGGAAAACAAAATTGCACAAAACTTGTTTCCTCCCCTTAAACCATGGACCCTTCTCCCTGCCATGCTTTCCTGCACACAAGGAAGACCTCCAGAAGAGAGAGAGTAGGAAGAAGGAAAGGAGAAAAGGGAGAAAGGGCCTGGACTTGAGATGAGGATGAAACTCTGAGGAACAGGTAGTACTTGAAACTGGACAGTGAGTCATGCAGGGTGGAGCAGGTCAGAGTTGCTAACTTACTGTTTGAAGGGCTAAGAAACTTCAAAATGATTGAGTTTTAAATTAGGCTATTTGTGAATTTCCTGTTTCCTTGCTCAAACCCCTGAGGATTGGTTGGGGCAGAGGATGAAGATAGGACCCACGCCAGGCTCTTTTATGTTTATTTCTCTTTGCTCATGCTCCTGACTTTGAACAGGCACATCTATCACTAGGACACTCCAGTTCATTAGGAAGCAGCAGGCAGCAGGTCACAGAAGGGAAGAAAGAAAAGGAGGAAAGGAGCAAAGAGAAAACCAATGACTTAAAACTCCCTGTGCTCGCTTGGCCAGCATGTGTACTAAAATTGGAACAATGCAGAGAAGATTAGCATGTCCCCTGTGCAATGATGACACACAAACTCATGAAGCATCCCGTATTTTTTCAGGGATGATGGAAAAGTTCTGGAGGTGAATAGTGGTGGATGGTTGTACAACAACATGAATGCACTTGATGTTACTAAACTATCTATATACTTAAAAGTAGCCGAATGTGATGAGCACTAGGTGTCATACACAACTAATGAGTCATCGAACACTACACCAAAAACTAATGATGTACTATATGTTGGCTAATTGAATTTAAATAAAGAAATTAAATTAAAAAGTTTTAAAAATAGCTGAATGGTAAATTTTATATTTTACCTCAATTTATAAAAAACAAACAAACATGGCCATAAAGGTTGGATAAAGATGTCATAAGGAAAAATCAACAAGTAAAAGTCACTCAGTTAAAAAAATAAGTTAGAGCAAAAAAAAAAAATCTGAAAACCCAAATGCAAGCCCTCAGTCATTGTGCATACCACGGTATCAGCAGAGAGTAGTGGAAAGAGCCAACTTGGCTATTACCTGATTTGAAGTCTCACTCTGCTACTTACTAGCTGTATGACCTTGGACAAAACACCTAATGTCCTTGAGCCTGTTTCTTACTTAAAATCGTGAAATGACATTGGACGCACAGACCTATTGGGAGAATTAAGATATTACAGACAAGGCATTTAGCATAGTAAATGGCTTCTACTAGGCATTCACACTGTGTTTCCTTTCCTTTTCTGCATGTAGAAGGTTGCAAATGCGATGTGTTGTGGGACACAGAACCTAACTTGAAAGATGGTAAGGATAAAATTTAAAAAATGAAAATATATGGAGATAGTATTTGGGCAGTAGTTCCTGAGAGAGGCAGACCAGGTGTAGAAAGGACCCTCTCAATTGCTGAAAAAGACTTAAGACTTGTTATTAGAGTACTGACCTAGCTGTTGTAACTAAGTAACCCGCCCCCTCCCCAATACAGTGCCTGAAATAAGATGGAAGCTTATTTATCTCCATATAATACTCCAGAGGTAAGCTATTTAAGGCTGACAAAGCAGCTCTGTCATTCTCAACACACAAGATTTCCATCATTGGCTCCAAAGTGGTTGCTTTAGATCCTGACATCATCTGGGTAGTGGAAGGGGTTGGGGGGAAGGACCAGTGGTGCCATCTAGCTTTCTTTTTAAGGGCATGGCTTAGAAATGACACATCTCATTTTTCCACCCACACCACATTCACCAAATCCTTGCTGTAAAGGATGCCAGGGGAAGTAAACTCCAGCTGGAGTCCTATTCCTAAGAAGAGGAGTTTGGATGTTGCTATATACTTAGCCATCTCAACCACATAACTCACATTATATTTTCTCTAATTTGCAACCACTGGCTTTCAAAATAACAAAGCTAACACAGTCCCCAAAATGGAAGAATAATTTCTTGCTTATTAATATATTCAGTAAATATTTATAGACTACTTCTGTGTGTTAGATACTATTCAAAACATCACAAATACAGAAGACTGCAAAACAGATGAAGTTCCTGATTTCATTAAGCTAAATTTGGGGACACCTGGCTGGCTCAACCGGTAGGACATGTGACTCTTAATCTCAGGGTCATGAGTTCAAGCCCTGTGTTGGTGTGGAGCCTATTTAAAATGAAAAAGAAAAAACAAATGCCATTAAACTAAATTCAGTAGGGGGAGAAAGTAAACAAAAATTGGAAAAAAACCCCACACATTAGTGCAAAGATGAAAATTAAGGGATGTAGGGACAAGCAACCAGATGTTTATTTAGATGGGGTGGTTAGGGATGCCCTAACCATTTGAAGAACAGGAAACAGAACCTGACAGGAATGGGGAACTGCAGGTGCAGAGGTCCTGAGGGGGGAAAGATCCAGGAGGGTTTGTGGTACAGAAGGGCCAGTGTGGATTTAGCAGGAGAGGGAGAGAGGATATAAGATCAGGAAGGAAGGCGGGAGCAGTTTGTTCTTTGGCATTTCCCAGTGCTGAGGACAGTGTGCACAGGGTAGGTACCCCGTGAGTGTTTGATAAATGAATAAGCTAGAAGATAAAGATCCAAGACTGTTGGCAAGTAGCCTCTAATTTATGGCTGTCCTCTGCTATAGATTGCCTTCTGCTCATGCTACACGCATCTCTCAGCCCCTGTCTCTCAGATCTCAGACTCTTTTGATCCTTGTAGCTGCTCCCAGTGTCTTTGGTAGACTGATGTCCTCTTATTAAAAATGGAGTTAGGGAAGAAATTTGGGAAGGTGACAGGTATCTGAATATAATGATCATGTCCCCTTTTTGGCTTTTTCTGCTCTTTGCTAAATAGCTCTAGTTCTCTTAATTTTTCTCTGTGTGGTTTTCCAGATCTGGAACCAGCCTAATAACCTGATACTTACAAGTGTCATGTTTGCAGAGGCAATATGATTAATGGAGCACCAAGATGGGGTGGTAGTTAAGGCTGTTACCTTTGGAGCCAGACTTCCTGGGCTTGAATCCCAATTTGGCCTGGTCTGGGTCACTCTGAGTAAAGTACTAAATCACTTTGGTCATCTGTTTACTTTCTGTTAAATGGGGGTTGAGTGATTTCTGACCGTGAATTGAAAGAATTAATATTATTAAATTAATTTAAATTAATTAAATTAATTAAATTAATTTTAAGAATTAATATTGTTAAAATGTCCATGCTACCCACAGTGATCTACAGATTCAGTGCAATCCCTATCAAAATACCAATACTACTTTTCATAGAACTAGAACAATTAATCCTAAAAAACTATATGTAACCACAAAAGGACCCCAAAGAGCCAAAGCAACCTTGAAAAAGAACAAAACAGCTGGAGGTATCACAATCCCAGATTTCAAACTACAGGACAAAGCTACAATAATCAAAAAAGTATGGCAGTAATACAAAAACAGACATATAAGATCAATGGGACAGAGTCCAGAATTAAACTCATGCTTATATTGTCAATTAATCTATAATAAAGGAAATAAGAATATACAATAGGGAAAAGATAGTATCTTTCCATTTATTTTTGTCATCTTCAATTTCTTTAACCAGTGTCTTCTAATTTTCATACTACTGGTGTGTCACCTCCTTGGTTAAATTTATTCTAGGTATATTATTATTTTTGATGTTTTTTTTTTTTAAAGATTTTATTTATTTATTTGACAGAGACACAGCGAGAGGGGGAACACAAGCAGAGGGAGTATAGAGAGAAGCAGGCTTCCCACTGAGCAGGGAGCCCGATGCTGGGCTCGATCCCAGGACCCCGGGATCACGACCTGAGCTGAAGGCAGACGCCCAACCAACTGAGCCACTCAGGTGCCCCTTTGATGCATTTTAATGGGATTGTTTTCTTAATTTCTCTTTCTGCAACTTTGCTGTAAGCATATAGAGAAACACAATAGATTTCTGTACATTAATTTCATTTGTTACAACTTTATGGAATGCATTCTAAGTTTTTTTGGAGAGTCTTTAGGGTTTTCTTTTTTTTTTTTTTAAAGATTTTATTTATTTATTTGACAGAGAGAGAGATAGCGAGAGCAGGAACACAAGCAGGGGGAGTGGGAGAGGGAGAAGCAGGCTTCCCGCCGAGCAGGGAGCCCGATGTGGGACTCGATCCCAGGACCCTGGGATCATGACCTGAGCCGAAGGCAGACGCCTAACGACTGAGCCACCCAGGCGCCCTCTTTAGGGTTTTCTGTATAAAATAGCATGTGATCTGCTAATAATGGCAGTTTATTTCTTCCTTATCAGTTTGGTTGCCTTTTGTTT